TGCGAGCCTACTGTCGTGCACGAGGCATCCGCCAGACCTTCACGCTTCCGGACTCTCCACAGCAAAATGGGATTGCTGAGCGCCGCATTGGCATGGTCATGGACGTCGCCCGTACGTCCATGATGCATGCGGCTGCCCCCCATTTTCTGTGGCCGTTTGCGGTTCGGTACGCGGCGCATCAGATCAACCTTCACCCCAGGGTCTCCATGCCGGAGACCTCCCCAGCTTTGCTGTGGACGGGGAAGGTTGGCGATGCGTCTGCGTTCCGTGTCTGGGGATCTCGGGCGTTTGTCCGCGACTTGTTTGCGGACAAGCTGTCCCCTCGTGCTGCTCCTTGCGTCTTCCTTGGCTTCCCCCCTGACGCGCCAGGGTGGCAGTTCTACCACCCCACCTCTCGCCGTGTTCTGTCCTCCCAGGACGTCACGTTTGACGAGTCGGTCCCCTACTACCGCCTCTTCCCCTACCGCACTCCGTCCCTCCCCCCGCCACCGCTCTTCCTTGTACCAGGTCCCCCCCCGGTAGACCCCCTCCCCCCTCAGGGTCCTGCCCCTTCAGGTGTGTCCCAGGTAGACGCAGTCGAGCCTGTCGAGGTTACTGGTGACTCTGGTGCTGCTGAGGGTGCTGAGCCTGGGGGTGCTGACTCTGGGGGTGCTGAGCGTGTGGGTGCTACGCCTGGGGGTGCTGAGCCGGAGGGTGCTACTACTGGGGGTCCTGAGCCTGGGGGTGCTGAGCCTGGGGGTGCTACTACTGGGGGTGCTACTACTGGGGGTGCTGAGCCTGGGGGTGCTGAGCCTGGGGGTGCGGAGCCTGAGGGAGCTGGGCCTGCTCGTGTGGCGTCTGGCGGTGCTGAGCCTGGAGGTTCTCCGGGTGCTTCGTCTCGGCGGGAGCCACTCTCTCCACAGGAGCTGCGCGAGTGGTTTGCCCGGCGCTGGAGGCGTGCTGCTGGAGCTGGAGGTTCTTCAGCTGCTGAGGGTGCTGGTGCCGTGGGTCCCGGAGGTGCTCGTCCTGGGAGTACTGGAGCTGCTGGGCCTGCGGGTACGACTGGAGCTGGAGCTGCTGAGGGTGTTGACGCTGAGGCTACTGCTGTCGGTCCTGGAGGCGGTCCTGCTGGGGGTACTACTGGTGCGGCTGGAGGTCCTGGAGCTGGAGGTGCTACTGGCGCTGGTGCTGCCGCTGGGGGTACTGGTGCTGTCCCTGCTGTGTCTGGAGTCGCCGCGCGGCCTCGGCCGTACTTCGTTCCGCTCCTTCAGCAGGTTCTTGGTCTCCCGCCTTCTACTGGTCCTCCTCCTCCCTTAGAGTGTCCACAGCCTGTCCCGTCACAGTTCCAGTTACAGCCGGCCTCCCCACTGCCCGCTCCCTCTCCCTACACTGGTCCTACTGGAGGTCTTGCTGAGCGTCGTGAGCCTGCGTCCCACCCTGCGTCGCCTGTCCGTGCTGCTCGCACTAGTGGTCGTGGTTCGCGTCAGCGTCCTCCTCCTGTCCCTGGCACGCACCGGATGTCTCTGCGTCCGTCCACTGCTCCACTGCGTGCCCCTTTGCCTTCTCCTCCTGAGTCCTCTCTTCCTGCTCTTCCTGACCCGGAGTCGGACTCTCTTCGTGCTGCCAGTCCTACTGTCACACGTCTCCTTGCTACTGTTGTCACTGACCCTTCCTTTGAGTCCACTGCTGCGTCTGCCCTAGTTACTGAGCTCGTCGACTTTGCTGCTCGCTGTCGTCTAGACTACGCTGCTAGTCTTGTTGCTGAGTCTGTCTGTCCTCCGTCCGTCGGGGGTGAGTGTGCCCTTGGCACGGACGTCCTTGAGGACAGGCAGGAGGAGTTCCAGTGTTTGGCTGCTGCTTCACCTCATCTCGTGTCCGTACTGCTTACCCCTGAGGGAGACCCGGATGCACTTGACATCCCGACTCCGCGCTCTTACGCGGAGGCGATAGAGGGTCCCTACTCCTCTCAGTGGCAGGCAGCTATGGACGCAGAGATGGCTTCCTGGAAGTCCACAGGCACCTACGTCGACGAGGCTCCCCCGCCTGGGGCGAACATCGTCAGTGGCATGTGGATTTTCAGGGTGAAGCGGCCGCCGGATTCTCCGCCTGTCTTCAAGGCGCGTTACGTGGCTCGTGGCTTTAGTCAGCGGCAGGGAGTTGACTACTTTCAGACCTTCTCTCCCACCCCGAAGATGACCACTCTTCGGGTACTGCTGCACGTAGCTGCTCACCGCGACTACGAGCTACACTCTCTTGACTTCAGCACTGCTTTCTTGCAGGGTAGCCTGCACGAGGAGATCTGGCTGCGTCGCCCACCTGGCTTCACTGGGTCTTTTCCTCCTGGCACCCAGTGGAGCCTCCGGCGGCCAGTCTACGGTCTCCGCCAGGCACCGCGTGAGTGGCACGACACACTGAGGACTACACTTGCGGCTCTTGGGTTTGCTCCCTCTACTGCCGACCCGTCGCTGTTTCTGCGCACCGACACTTCTTTGCCGCCGTTCTACATCCTCGTGTATGTCGACGACTTGGTCTTTGCCACAGCTGACACTGCTGGACTCGCCCACGTGAAGTCCGAGCTGCAGAAGAGACACACGTGCACAGACCTGGGTGAACTGCGCAGCTACCTTGGCTTGCAGATCACCCGGGACAGAGCACGCCGCACCATTACCCTGACTCAGTCACACATGGTGCAGCAGGTCCTTCAGTGCTTCGGCTTCACGTACTCCTCGCCTCAGGCCACTCCTCTGCCTACTCGCCACTCGCTCTCAGCTCTGCCTTCGGATGAGTCCGTAGAGTCGAGTGGCCCGTACCCAGAGCTTGTTGGCTGCCTCATGTACCTGATGACCTGCACACGACCTGACCTTGCATACCCTCTTAGCATTCTCGCACGCTATGTTGCTCCTGGGAGACACAGACCGGAGCACATGGCTGCAGCGAAGAGGGTGTTGCGCTACTTGTGCAGTACGTCGGGCATGGGGCTTGTGCTTGGAGGGCAGAGTCCAGTGGTCCTCACTGGGCACGCAGTCGCTTCTTGGGCTGACGACCAGGCTACGCAGCGGTCGTCACAGGGTTACACCTTCAGCCTTGGTTCCGGTTCTGTTTCGTGGCGGGCTACCCGCTCGTCTTCTGTTCTCGGCTCCAGTTGTGAGGCTGAGATCTACGCTGGGGCCATGGCTGCACAGGAGCTTCGCTGGCTCACCTACCTGCTGACTGACCTCGGAGAGCCGCCTCGTTCTCCTCCAGTGCTGTACGTAGACAACAAGGCCATGCTGGCCTTGTGTCGAGAGCAGAGACTGGAGCACAGAACGAAGCACATTGCTCTCCGCTACTTCCTTGCTCGTGAGCTACAGCAGCGTGGTCAGCTGCGACTTGCGTACGTGGCCTCTCAGGCCAACACTGCTGATATCTTCACCAAGGCACTTGCGCCTTGTGATCATCAGCGTTTCTATACTCAGCTGGACCTTGTGCCTACCTTGCCTCACTTGCTCACCCCTTGACCTTGTTTGTACTGTTGCATATATATATACACGTGCTCTTGCTTGTCTAGCCTTATATATATATGTAATCCTGCATGTGAACTGGCCTTGTGGCCTTGAACTTGTGCTCAGAATGTGTGGTGACTTTGTGATCCACCCTGAGCTTGCTTTGCTTTGCTTGACTGGTCTTGTGACCCCTTGTTCTCCCCCACTTTGCCTATGGGGGTGTGTCAGATTTATATGACAGAGCTACTGTAGGCTATAGTGGGGTAGCACATATGGGGTACAGTTTTTCTAGGGTTTGTATTTGTACCCAACTTTCCCTTAGTCATTTTCATTCCTGTTTTCTTCATTCACATTGTGCTGACATGTTTCGTTAGTACTGCATTTATATCCAAGATGTCGTCAGTGTAAAAATCATGTTTTATTTTTTAGGAACCGTGCAAATTTAGGTTTATCTTTCTAGGAACCCTAAACCCTCATGGATCAAGGTCCTTACAATTGAATCATAGACCCTAGGCGGGGGCGCATTTGAGTGTTTGCGAAAAATGTGAAGGGTGGGTGAATGTTGTAACTAAACCTAAACTAAAAAAACGTTCATAATTGAGGTCCGGACGTGGTATCGTCCGAACGTAACGTCAGAACCGAAGTTATCCGGACAGTTCGGGAGCAGATTCTGGACAAATATGAGGTGAAAAAAGGTATACGCCCTTAAGGGGTGGAACATGCTTCACCAATCGTACCTAAGGGCGTCTAACTTTTTTACTTTCCATCGTCCGGACGGAGGCCCCGTCCGAACTTTTGTAGGGTAACTAATTTTGTAACACCTCGTTAAGGACTTCGCGAGACCCCTTGCGACGTCGCCACCATCCGGACCATGTCTGACACCTTTCTGCCAAAAAATGGTCCGGACTATCCTGCTGACACCGTCCGTACGGCATATCGGACCGGCTGTTTTGGCTCGCTGTCATTGGCGCGCGAATTTGTTGAAAAACCTACCCAGTAACACGCCGCGGATTTTTGGTGGCGAAACTCACGATGCTCTACGATTGCAGTGATGCGTGTTACATTTTGCGGAGAAAATCAAAATTTCGATAGTGCAAAAAGTTCCATATTTGTGGTCCGGACGGGCTGTCGTTCGGACGATTTGGGGGCTCCGTCCGGACATTTGACGAAAACGGAAGTTACACGCCCTAAGTGTCGGCCCCAAGCGAGGTTGTACACAATAATGTTGTATTTTGTTTCAGTAAGTTCTAGTATGGTGCAGAGAGGTGACAAACCAAACCGTGGAATGTCCACGGCCTTAGGGCGTGGAACATCTGGGGAAAGTTGGTACTATACCAGGGTTCGTGAGCCACGATTTCGGCTGTGGCAACGATCGCCAGATGCACAATCCGGACCCCAGCTTCCACCCCGCACTTAGTGAATCCGTCAGAGATCATCGTTCGTGTGCCACTTGTAGGCGCTTTCGCTCGAGTGCAAGCTAAGCCGCCGTCACGGCTATTGGGCTCAGCGGCTTTGGTGTTTAGGATTCGGGGGACGGCCATGACGCTTCACATTCCGTACTTGGCGGCGCTCACGACGTACATCAGCTATGGCTTCCTCTTCCTCTTCGGCCACATCCGCGACACCTTCCGCTCGCTGCTTCCGCAGCTCAAGGACACGTTGAAGGTGGGTGGCCCGAGCTGGGTGGCCGAGGTTGTGTGTGTAGCGAGTGACAGCTGAGGTCGCTGGCCGCGGGGGCCATGGCTGATCCGGTGTGGTTGCCGCTGCTGCTGCTAAGATCGCGAGCCGCGTAGTGCGTAGGCGAGTCCATTGCGCGGCCGTCACTGCATCTTTGCTCGCGCCACCGCTGCTGCTTGCTCATCGCCTCACCGCTGTGCGTCATCGCCGTGCCTCACCGCTGTGCGTCATCGCCGTGCCTCACCGCTGTGCGTCATCGCCGTGCCTCACCGCTGTGCGTCATCGCCGTGCCTCACCGCTGTGCGTCATCGCCGTGCCTCACCGCTGTGCGTCATCGCCGTGCCTCACCGCTGTGCGTCATCGCCGTGCCTCACCGCTGTGCGTCATCGCCGTGCCTCACCGCTGTGCGTCATCGCCGTGCCTCACCGCTGTGCGTCATCGCCGTGCCTCACTGCTGTGCGTCATGCCGCTGTGCTGTGTGGTGGCAGGGCTACGCACCCCTCTGTCGTGACTTTGAAGACTTCTACACTCGCCGCTTCTACTATCGCCTTCAGGTGCGCCCCGCGCTCTCACCTCGCGCTCTCACCTCGCGCTCTCACCTCGCGCTCTCACCTCGCGCTCTCACCTCGCGCTCTCACCTCGCGCTCTCACCTCGCGCTCTCACCTCGCGCTCTCACCTCGCGCTCTCACCTCGCGCTCTCACCTCGCGCTCTCACCTCGCGCTCTCACCTCGCGCTCTCACCTCGCGCTCTCACCTCGCCCTCTCACCTCGCGCTCTCACCTCGCGCTCTCACCTTGCGCTCTCACCTCGCGCTCTCACCTCGCGCTCTCACCTCGCCCTCTCACCTCGCGCTCTCACCTCGCGCTCTCACCTCGCGCTCTCACCTCGCGCTCTCACCTCGCGCTCTCACCTCGCGCTCTCACCTCGCCCTCTCACCTCGCGCTCTCACCTCGCGCTCTCACCTCGCGCTCTCACCTCGCGCTCTCACCTCGCGCTCTCACCTCGCCCTCTCACCTCGCGCTCTCACCTCGCGCTCTCACCTCGCGCTCTCACCTCGTGCTCTCACCTCGCGCTCTCACCTCGCCCTCTCACCTCGCGCTCTCTCCTCGCGCTCTCACCTCGCGCTCTCACCTCGCGCTCGTCTAAGCCACGTTGCTGACTTCACGTTCATGCCTCATTGATCTAAGCGGTGCTGGGCTGGTGCGGTGCAGGACTGTTGGAACCGACCCATCGCCAGTGCGCCCGACGCATGGATCGACGTTGTCAACCGCGACTCGCATGACAACAACCAGACCCTCGTGTGAGCCGCATGCCCCCATGCATCAGCATGGCATCTCCGTGCTTGGGACGCCATGCCACATCCCTCACCACCCACTTGTTTCTCACCCTTGTCAACTCCCTCACCCTCACATCACGGATGGCCCTTGGACTGCATGTGCCATGTGGCATGGGGGGCGCTGTGTGGGGATGGCGGGCGGCAGGCGCAAGGACACGGTGGTGCGGAGCTTGAACCTGGGGTCGTACAACTATCTGGGCTTCGGTGCGCCCGACCCCTACTGCACTCCGCGTGCCCACGACTCGCTGCACCTCTTCGGCTCCTCCACCTGCAGCAGCCGCACCGACGCAGGTCAGCCCCTCACACCGACGCAGGTCAGCCACTCACACCGACGCAGGTCAGCCCCTCACACCGCCATGCACCATGCTCTGCCTCACTCTGCTGGGTGCACTTGCGCGCTTCTAGCGTGTGACTCTCTTCACGAAATTCTAAAGGCGCAGCACCTCGCGGGTGGGGGGCACTGGCAGGCACAACGCGGGTGCACGTGGAGTTGGAGCGGTGCATGGCGGAGTTCATCGGCAAGCCTGCCGCCCTCGTGTACGGCATGGGCTTCGCCACCAACTCCCTCACGCTGCCCGCCCTTGTAGGCAAGGTGCGCCGCTGCCCGCCCACCACTCACCCCTCACTTCCACGCACTTGTCATATTTTTGCCGACTCATAGGAAGAAGTGCGCACTCATACCCGCACCTGCCCTTGTTCTCTAAAACGGTATCTCGTGGCGGCGTGTGTGGAGGGCAGGGGAGTCTGATCATCAGCGACTCGCTCAACCACTGCAGCCTCATCGCGGGAGCGCGTGCGTCGGGCGCCGGCATCAAAGTCTTCCAACACAACGGTGCGCTGCACCGCTCTGCACTCCTCCTCCACTTGCCAACCCCTCTGTGCCCACCCTATCCCGTCCGCCTATTCCCTCCCTCCACTGCCATCACGCACTGCCCCTTTGGCCTGTTAGGTCTCATCGCATGCCCCTTGGACCGTTGAATGCAAGCCATGCCTCGCAAGGGCCTGGCCATCCAAGTGCTACTGCACTCTGCCTCCTCTTTCCTGCTCGTCCTGCCTCACCCACCTCGTGCCCACCTCGTCCCCCCTCATCCCACCGCGTCCCCATGGCGTGCCGTGGTGCTGTGGGCAGTGCCGGAGAACCTGGAGCAGGTGCTGCGCACGGCGATAGCGGAGGGGCAGCCGCGCACGCACCGGCCGTGGAAGAAGGTGCTGATAGTGGTGGAGGGCATCTACAGCATGGAGGGCGAGATCTGCCGCCTGCAAGAGATCGTCGACATCAAGCGCAAGTACAAGGCCTACCTCTTCCTCGACGAGGCGCACAGCATCGGCGCGCTGGGCCGCACGGGGCGCGGCGTGTGCGAGGTGGCGGGCGTGGACCCTGCTGACGTGGACGTGCTCATGGGCACCTTCACCAAGTCCTTCGGCTCCTGCGGTGGCTACATCGCCGCCTCCCACGTCCGCCCCACTCCCTGCTCCCTACTCCCATGCTCTCTGCTCCCCTGCTCCCCACTCCCCTGCTCACTTGCTCTCTGCTCCCCTGCTCCCCACTCCCCTGCTTACCTGCTCCCCACTCCCCTGCTCACCTACTCTCTTCTCCCCTGCTCACTTCTTCCCTGATCTCTGCTCCCCCGCTTACTTCTTTTCTACACTCTGCTCCCTGCTATCCGCTCCCGTGTCTCCTGCCTGTTTCCTCACTTCTAGCTATCGCACACATCGCTTTACCTGCCCATTGCACAACGTTCTTCCATACTTTCATATCCTCACCATCCCTCCACTCTACCTTTCCCCCCCCTCCGTCTGACTCCCCCCCTGTCCACGCCTCACCAGGAGCTGATAGCGTATCTGAAGGCCACGAGTCCGGGGCATCTGTACGGGACGGCCATGGCGCCAGCAGCGGCGCAGCAGATCCTCTCCGCGCTCAAGCTGCTGCTGGGCCACGACGGCTCCTCAAGAGGTAACTTGCCCCGCTGCCGCCCATACCCCCCTCCACGCCTGTGCGCTGCTCCCCCCTGCACGGGGGCTGCGCTTTCCTCCTTTGCTGCTGCACCCGCATGCGCATGGCAGTGAGCATGCCCCATGTGCCGCCACATGACCATTGTCAGAAGACCTGCACTGGGGATCCCCGATTGATTCTAGGCAAGGGTTACAGGTGCAAAGCCTGGGGGGTTATGGGTGCACTCACCCGCTACTTAACAAGCCATTTGATCCCAGTGGTGTAGTGGCTGGGATTCTGACAACCATCACCGCTCTCCTTCTCCATCTCTGCCTCCCCTCCACGCCCCCACGCCATGTGCTCCCCCCAACGTCCCCCCCCTCCCCTTCCACGCCCCCCTGTGCCCATGTGTGCGTGCTGGGCGGGGTGGAGCAGGGCAGGAGAAGCTGGCGCAGCTGAGGGAGAACTGCAACTGGTTTCGAGGGGAGCTGCAGCGGCTGGGGCTGGAGGTGCTGGGCGACGAGGACTCGCCCGTCATGCCCATCATGATCTACCACCCCGGCAAGATTGCTGCCTTCTCCCGCGAATGCCTCAAACGCCATGTCAGCGCCCTCACCCCGCTGCCACCCGCTGCTGCCACCCACTGCTGCCACTGCACGTTTGGTCGAAAGAAAGTGCTAAATGCCTTGCCATCGCTGTGCCGGCAGGAATTTCTTGCTTCTACTGTCCGATCTTGTTCGTCTTCTGAAATCTTTGTGTGAAGCTAGAGGCATGTTCCTCGCCATTTGAATTTACCACCATCTGCCCATCTGCCCATCAGCACACATCTGCACTAAACAAGCACGCATCAAGAGCCTACTCTGCCTTGTGCCGCACGCCTGCCTACCCCTGTGTGCTGTTTGCAGGTGGCGGTGGTGGTGGTGGGCTTCCCCGCCACGCCCGTGCTGCTGGGCCGCGCCCGCATCTGCATCTCCGCCGCCCACACCCGCGCCGACCTTGAGTACGCCCTCAAGGTGCGAGTACGCCCTCAAGGTGCGAGTACGCCCTCAAGGTGCGAGTCCGCCCTCAAGGTGCGAGTCCGCCCTCAAGGTGCGAGTCCGCCCTCAAGGTGCGAGTCCGCCCTCAAGGTGCGAGTTTGCCCTCAAGGTGCGAGTACGCCCTCAAGGTGCGAGTCCGCGCCAGTCTATTTGGCGATTCGTAAAAAAATGATGTCTCTTGCTGAGATTTGCGCACCATCCTACCACCCCCAAATCCCTTCTATTCCCCATCCCTCTCATTCACATCCTCTCTCTCTCTCTCTCTCTCTCTCTCTCTCTCTCTCTCTCTCTCTCTCTCTCTCTCCCTCCCTCCCTCCCTCCCTCCCTCCCTCCCTCCCTCCCTCCCTCCCTCCCTCCCTCCCTCTCTCTCTCTCTCTCTCTCTCTCTCTCTCTCTCTCCCTCTCTCTCTATCTCTCTCTCTCTCTCTCTCTCTCTCTCTCTCTCTCTCTCTCTCTCTCTCTCTCTCTCTCTCTCTCTCCCCCCATCCCCCCTTCCCTCTAGCTCTCTCTCGCCCTCTCCCTCGCCCTCTTCCTCTCCCCCCCTCTCTTACCCCCCTGTCCCCAGGTGCTGGACGAGGTGGCGGACCTGGTGGGGCTCAAGTACATCCCCCCGCTGCCACCTCTTGAAGCCTCCCCCCACTCCTCCCCCACCAACGGCCCCATCTCTTCTGGAATGCCGGACGGCCATGCCAAGGTCCATGGGGGGGTGCTGGCTCATGGGAAGGTGGAGTGATGCTGGATTTGAGTAGAGCTGGGAAAACTGCACTAGCACTTGACTGACAAGAACAACATACGATTCAGTTGTTTTTTCCCTATTGATACGAACAACATTCGTTAGTACATTCATAAAGCAGTAATAAAGCTTCTGCAATCCCCTTGATATGGCTTGTGTTTTTCAAAATTGTGTATTGTGAAAGCGAAGCTGCCTGTACCGAATATTTGGCAGCGTCGAAGCGCGCTAAACGCCCTTCTCCAACTACAAAAACCGTGGGTTGTAGTTAATTTCCCTCCACCCACGTTTCTCTAATTTCAACGGCTCAATCAACACCAGGGCCTGTGCTAGGATTTAGGGCACCCTGAGCCCTCAGGGTAACTTCTGAAAAATCTCCGAAATGCACTGATTTTTCAGGGCAAAATTTCCTGGCCATTCTGAAAATTCAGGGCACCAGCAGAAATTCATCTGGATGATTCAGGGCAAAAAATACAAGGCACTAGAGAGGATGGAGGGGAAGGCACGAAAGGAGCAGGTTGTTCACTGGTTTCACTTCTACTGGCTGAGCAAAAACATTGGTGGGGGAGGGGTGGGGACAAAACTAGCACACACACCCTCCAGCCTCCTTCCTCCCCTCTCCCCCTCTCCCCCCTCCACCCCTTCTCCCCTTCCCACGAGTCAGGGCATCCCTCTACATTCACCCTAATGCTTCAGGGCAATATTTCACTGCCATTCTGAAATTTCAGGGCAAAACACATGGATCATCCTAACGTCACAGGGTAAATTTCAGCGTCATTCTGAAATTCCAGGGCAAACTTAAAACACCATCCTGAAATCAGGGTAATCAGGATGTTTTGCCCTGATATCGTGGGCCCTGATCAACACTTCCGTTCGAGTAGTTTTTTTCTTCCGCCCAAGCTGGCTAGAACGCGCAGCCTCCCCAGAGGTGTGTCTGTCACCCTCAACATTACTGCGCGACATTTTCAGCTACAATCGCTGAACTATGGCGTCTACGCTGACACTTAACAGTGGCAATTCGTCCTCCCCAACTTCCGACTCCGACCGTAACGCCCGAGAATTGACGGGCGATCGCCGTAACAAGCGGCGGGCAAAGGAAGGATCGCCCACCCCGACTACAGTGGACGTGCTGTTGGGCGGGCTCGAGGTCAACAAAGACGCGAGCACCCCCATCCAGCAGCATCCTTCGGAGGGCTAACTTTAGTAAAATGACCCGTGTGGCTTTAAGACCGGGTCATGGCTACTTGTCTGATCGTCAGACGAAACCTGTAACTCTTGTCTTGCTTTTCAGACGAATTAAGTACTTGTATAAGACTTCAGATGAAGATATATAGTTAGTCTTATTGGATAGCAACTTTGCTACCCAATTTAAACTATAAACCATTCTTTAAGCTAGAAACATCCTATTCTAAGAGGAGTTGCCACTAGCATTGCTGCTTCCACTCTCATCATCACTACCACTGCCACTGTCATCACTACCACTGCCACTCTCAGAGGTTTCCTCTATTGAAGCTCTGGCTTTACCCTTCCTCCACGTAGGCAGTTCCCATGCTGCTTCTTCTGCCGCTCTCTCTCTCTCCCTTGTTGCAGCCTCTTCCGCGTCTTTCTGTGCGCGTGTTGCTGCTTCTGCTGCTGCTGATTCTGCAGCGCGTCTCTTCTGGTGATGGGACCGCCGTCTCTTCAACGGGCGTGATCCTTGAGCCATGACCACCTCACGAGCTGGCCGCCGCTTCTTGCTTGCATAATCCAGAAGAGAAACTGTCATCAGGTCGCCAAGTGTCGTGTCGCTCCAAAGGCGACCGAGGTTCGGAAAGGCCGACTCCCAATCCGGCGTTGAGAGCATCTGCGAGAGGCTGTCGTGGAAGGAGAGGTATTCGTGGTGAGTGGAGAGGATTGTGGTGAAGCTGGTGAGCTCCTTGGCAGCTTTGCCCTAGTCGACACCCGATGGGGAGGGGAGGGGGGAGAACATGCGGTAGCATAGCAGAACGAGGGAGTACATTAAACAGACACCACAGTAATGCCCAACATCATATACAGAGATGCCTCGCAGTTATAAGAGGAAAGCCGGTTACCAGGAAGGGTGTCTGGATGTTGAGGTTTCTTCTTGAACAGGTTGCGCAGAGACTCAAGCCACATGGGAAAACGGCTCGCTCTCTTAGTGCGCGAGCGAGGGTACCGTCCTTGCCGAAACAGACGGCTCCCATCCAACGACTTGAGGTTATTCATGCGGTCGTCGATGTAAAAAACCGTCCTCCCAGCGAACGCCGATGCCACCTTCATGCACGACGCCAATTCCCCCCCAAAATGTTCCTTCTCGATGTAGTCCTCGTGCAGCACGTAGGTGTGTGTCACGGGTGTTCCCGCGCCGTCAACCCCTTCGACCTTCACCTCGCGATGCTCAAGGCTCCCGTGGTTCTTCAGGAAGGTTGCGAGTTGACCACTGTTGTCGCCGAAGGTGGAGCCGTACTCCACGTAGCGAATGGTCAACGCCAGAGTGGTGTGTTGCACCATCGGCAGAACCTGCGTCACATCAAGCTGCACATATAAAACGGAAGCCGAATTAGTCAAGGCACGCAAAACCAAGGGGAGACTATGCACAACACGTCCTTACCTGTCGTCGCTGAAATTTGAGATTGAGGCTGTTTAGCTCATGGAGCATATCAACCAGGAAGAATAGAAAAAACTGAAACTTCAAACTGGTTACAAGGGTGTATGAAGCCCGGTCATACTCATACAGCAGGACGATGGCAGTAGGCAGCACGTCAGCAAAGCGCTCAATGGCGTCCCCGCGTGAAAGCCACCGGACGTCCTCGATGCCTTGCATCTCCAAGTTGGTGCTCATTATCACCTCCTGCAGCTTCTTGAATCGCGCATGTTGCACGATGGAGCGGCCGAGAATGTCCGCGAAGGCCCTGACGACTTTGTTAACGACGTTGAACTCGGGGAACTCGAGAGCGGCATCCTTCGCAGCAAGAGCCTCCCTGCAGTCAGAACACGTAACGGATTAGTGAACAAGCTGCGAGAGAAAACAACAAAAGCAACAAGTCTAAACCACGGTACACAACCTGTGGGCAACGCAATTGTGAGAGTACGACGGCTTATGCTGGCTTTGCTAGCTTGCCTGAACTTTATTATGCTATTACTAGCTTAGGTTTTATTTATCATGCATAGATATGCTTGATTTCCTAGGTTAGGTGCATTCCTATATGTTATTATAGTTATAGCATCGAACCAGGTTACGTGTACCGAACTCAAGCCTTTTCGGTTCCCACCGAATTGCTTTCTACCGAGTTCGGGAAGGTTCTGTTCGGGACGCTTTGTGACCCTCAGAACATTCGCGTAACACCTGGGTTACCTGCCTTGTGTCGAGCCTATATATAGCCTCGCCTTGTACCCAGGTGAAACATTCAATAGATTTCTCTTTCCTGGACCAGATCCTCACACTTGGTATCAGAGCGGGTTTATACGTGAGGTCTTCAACCGCTTAAAACCGGCCTTTAAAAACTGCGGGGGCGACGACGAAAGCGCCGATACGGGTGTGTAAAACCAGTTCCGCACAAATTTTCTAAGTCCCCCTCGATCCGGTTTTCGAACACCTCTCAGGATTATTGGCAAAAAAGTTGGAATTTCGACCGTCATATCGATTCGAATCTCAACGGCCCAGAGAATTTCGCTCAAAAAGGTTGGAATTTGGAGCGTCGGATCGAGTTTCTTCTCAACGGCCGAGATCGGACGCGAATTTCGACTAAGGGAGAATTGTGCGACGTACAGAATTCGAGCTCGTCGATTCTACAGTCAATTCGACTCGCAGTAAGTCGACCAGCACCTACAATTCATTTATTTTCGTCGCACATCTTCCTGCAAATCGCCAAATGGAGGGAAATAGAGATAATTTCGTACGGAAAATCGCGGAGTTACGTGCCGAGCATAAGCAGATACGTGCGGCGCTCCCACGACTCGAAAAACTCCTTGCGAACCAGTCGGCAACCGCCACAGCAGCAGCAAATGCAGCAGCGACAGCAGCAGCAGCAGCAGCAGCAGCAGCAGTAGCAGCAGCGGCAACACCGACATATCTACCTGCGACAATGGCAGCAGCTACAGTTAACCTTGAAGCAATGAAGCCGAGGCTACCGGAGGCGTTCGATCATATAGTTAAAGGGAGGGACGTTCGTCGGTTCGTAGCTGAACTCGAAACTTACTTCGAAGCCGTTGGATGCACAACCCCCACCCAAGGCGCGATGCGCATACGGCTCGCAGCAACACTGTTACGTGGCCCAGCTCTAGAGTTGATCAACAACAAACTTGTCCAAGGCGAAGGGACGTGGACGCAGTTTCGGGCAGCACTGATCGAACAGTTTGACGTGTTGAACAGTAGCTACTACGGAACACGACGCAACAAGCCAAATAGTGGCATGGAGCGATCGGCACCACCCACGACTGCCGACCCGATGGAGAACGACAAGGACGATGCGACGCAGCGGCTAGCAAACAATGAGACGTGCGAATTTTGCGGCGCTACAGGACATCGTATCTTGGCGTGTTGGAAAATGAAGAAAAGACGTGCAGAGCTGAAGGGCAAGAACAGTGCAGCACCCCCGAAGCAGAAAACGGACAACGTGGCAACTTCGGAGAGGGCGAAAAAAGGAGAACATGATGGCGTGAATTTAAAACGCCACGACCAGCCGGCACCAGGGGAAATCGCCGAGACCAAAGGAGACTCCACGAAACAAGACCCTGCACCGACTGGGAAACTCCAGCCGTACACCTCGACAAGTAAGAATATTACTTCTCGTGGTTTTCAAGCCTTTATTAAGGGAGAGTCAGAAATTAAACCGGTACCGGGTAATATGGGGACCCCATTCCGGAGCGTTGATAAGGATCGAGCGTTCCGAGGAATTAATATTCTCTCCCAGCAGCACGGTGTTAAGGCTCCCCGCTGTTCCCCACTGGTGAAGCCTACACAGCTGCAAAGGCTTACGGGAAGGTTCCAGGCACAGGAGAAG